ATGTGCATTTCCATACTGCCCTTTGATTAATACTGTGCCTTTGAACGATCTGTTTTGTCATCTTTATTTCCATATAAATCTGAGTACTCTTAGTGAACATCTTATCTGAGTCAAATCATCATAAACATATCTTAGAATGTTTTTAGTCATCTGCAGATCTTACAGTCAATGTGCCTATAATGATTTTTGTTCTTAAGATGACTCTAGAGATAAATGACTTATTTTATGTGATGGAAATAACCTTCCTAGAGGATGTTGGGAGGATGCAATAAAGATCCCACCAGATGTTAAAATATCAGAAAAATTCACTAATTTTTTCACAAAGCCAGACACATGGACTTTATATGCAGAACTATGTATTAGTAGGGAAGATGGATTTTCCTTAAATAAGACAACAATTTTGATCTTACTGTACTTCTAAATAGCCACAAACTCTCAGCAGCAGCACTGACGAGCTCAAACCCACATATTTTGATCCACTGGCTGTATGTGTCTCATTTTCAAATGCACCACAATGCAAGACCTGGAGACAAGGGCTCAGATCTCAGGTGACGTGCTTCCTCACAACAGTGAGGGGCAGACCAAAACAGTGCAACTTCTGCCTGTCAGAGGGGGAAGAGTTATGAGCTTCTTCAATCATGCATGAGATAAAATCAAGTATCACTGTACTGATTTGTACTGATTTCATTAGGACACTCTTTAACACTTAGTTTAACCAGTGGCAGGTGGTTGCCTAATTTCCATAGGTTTCCTGTGATGTCTGATGGTAACTTTGAGCTTTAAATAGATTGCTGAATCAGGTCCATTTAGGGATCCTCAATGGATCTCTGGTTAAAGCTACACTGCAAGAGACTCAAAGAGATGGCCATAAAAAAAGAAGAAAAAATGACAAAAAACAAGGAAAAAAAAAATAAAATTCTTTGTTTGGGTTCTTATCAATCATATTGCCTCAGACAAACATCTAATTTTACATTATTTACTAAGGGGGAGCATTTACTGGAAAATCACAATGCAACAGTGGGAAGGAAACAGAGAAGCACTCATTCCTCTTTAGAAGAGAGCTTTTCTGCCATTTTTTGGGTGCTGTTTTTGTTGCTGTAACTAACTTACATATCTGTTTTTACAAAGTAAGTCCCTTTAGTGAAAATTATTTTATGCTCCCTTACTAATATACCAACAAAATGAAATCCAAGTTCTTGCATGATGTGACATGTAAACCATTTGCGTTGAAGTGACTGCCAGAAATGGATGGAAAATTTTTATCCTGAAGAAAGAATCAAATAAAATGCTAGCATAATCTAAAATTATTTACTGAAAGTAACTGCAGAATATTTTGCATCCTCTCTTTTCAGAAAATCTATTTAGTCAGGTCTAGTACTCAACAACTTACAGCATTAGCAGTGAAATTGATGTATTTTCCCTTTCGTGTTAGGTAAATCTGAAAACAATTGGTGTTTTTTTAAAAAGGAAGACATAAGCCAATTTTGTTGGCATTTCATAGGGGAAAAAAAATCCTCAGTAGTGCTAACATCTAAGGTAAAGCACACGTTTTCAAAGAAAGTACTGTAAGTGTGTTACTTACAAACACAAACATTTTGCCAGTTTCATTCAAGATCCCGATGCAGGCCAGGTTTTAAGAGCTGGATAGCCTCAGCTCCACCTAGATGCTCTCACCACAACTGCATGCACTTATCTCACTTAACATTCTTGTATGCCATGATTCAGCTTCATTTCCTTTCTGTAATGCAGTCAAAAGCCGTCAGAAATAGATAAATAGATTATTCCTTTTAGATAATACAACTACAGATTTTCCAGACACCCAACTGCTCCTTTGCTCAGAAAAAGTTAGAACTGAGCACCCACTTTTCTGCACCAGGAAAAATGTGATAGCTCATTAGCTTTTTGCTAACCAACTCTAAAATTACAGTCACATCAATCTACCTCCTCTGTCCTATGGAGCTTCTCTGTTATCACACAGCCTACTCAAAATTTCCCCAAAGGCCATGACCAACACTTGGAAAGGAGTCTAACTTTGCACAAAAGCATGCCCTGTTATCCACCATCTCAGACACCCCCAGCCAACCTCATTCCTTCTACTGCTTTTATTTTAGATGTGTATCAGGTCTCAGACGGAACACAGCTGGGAACAGTGATCTCCACCCTGCCTCCCCAGCCTGAATAACATTAGTTTGAATATTTTACTCATTCCCTGACAGAAATATCAAGGTTTCTTTAAATGACAGCAATATGCCTGGACTACTGGTCTGCCAGAAGGTTTCTTCAGCATTGTGTAAATAACTGGCTGTTAGAGAGAGACTGCTTTGAAGTTATTTGCAGCACCCACAGCACTTGGGCTGGATCCGTTTTTACTGGGCTACTTTCATGGCAAGCTCTTTTTGTCCCATCTGAAGAGTTTCTTTGTGAGAAATGAATGAGGACACAGCTTGGGAATGGTCTGGTACTTCAAAAGATGATTCTTGTAGTTTATCTTGCAGTAAGTTTCTCCTCTGAAGGAAAGGCTGCAGAGCCCTGGTATTGATCACAATGTTAGTCTTTTTTATCACTGGGCTGTCTGCACTATCACTATCCAAAGCAAATCTTTGAAAGCTGTGACTTTTATTAATTGATGTATGTATAGATATATTCTGCCTTTTATAATGCAACTCTTTTTTTTCTGCAAATGCTTCAAAACAAGCAGGTCTTGCTGAAGTCCATGAAAGTTTACTCACTGTCTGGTGAATTACTGCAATTAAGACTATTTTAGGGATGGTAAATTCAAGAATATCTTTATGTTTGAAAACTAGAAGTTTGGGGGTTTGGAGCTGTTTTGTTTAGCTGTGTTTCCTGTATTAAGTTTCAATGGAGGTAAAAAAGAAAGCACCATTTGCACACCTAAGCAACTAACCAAAGGTAGAAAAGGAAAACTGATAGCTAGAAATATTTAATAAAAGTTTCTAACCTGCAATCAGTTTGTAGGAACAGCAAAGACTGGCATTTAAAATCATACCACATTTATCACATTCTAAGCAACACACCCCTATAGTTTCCCACATATCCAGACACCAGTTTATTGCAAAGATGTTGCCAACTGTTTTAAAACATTTATTAACTTTTAATTTAACTTTTGAACTATTAGTTTTTTTAACTTAGAGAGGCTGGTTTTGTTTTTTGTTTTTTTAAAATAAAATAATAACACACTAAGTTTTAGGTGTGAAAGCCATTACTTGTGTCTGTGCCCATATAGTTAATTTATCCTTGATCACAAAATAATTCAACTGTTTTAATACTCTTTAGCTTAGCTGCAATGACACTTGGATGCTTATGTGAACACAGTACAAACTTCCATGTGGATAATCCCTTAGGCTGAACACCTCTTGTTGACAGCAGCACCAAGAGTACCAGCTCATGGGTTTTAACACATGATCTCTAGCACACAAGTATTAAATACTTGGGCATATGTACATTACAAAGCAATCCTGTCCTCTTTCGCTGTGGTAGATTTCTGGGTTTTGGAAGTTTTAAACTTCCTTCCCAAGAAGGCTTACATGATCATGGAAAAACTCCTTCTCAGTTCTGTAGATATTTTTATCTCATTCCATGCAGAACTTTTCAAAAATGTCTTGCTGGAAACCTTGTAACATTCTGCAGTTTTACCTTAAATGATATTATGCATTAACAGAAACCCTCACTGAAGCTGCTGCTGACTGGTAGTTGGGAACCAAAGTTAGAACAATTCGGGAAGCATCTTTCTCTCATTTTCTTCTGCTTTGAGTTACATGACCTATGTTCCCTGATCTCACCAGACAGATTCTTTCACCTTTGGATTAGACTACATCCTACAGACTACGAAAAAAACTAGCCCTAAAACACAGGTTTACATATGTTTTATGTGGCATATGTTTACATATGTTTTATTTTCCCTGTGTTTAGCAAGATGATATAATTTTCTGTTGCTTCCTCCCTTCATTCACTCTGAAGCCAGATGTCCTTAGTTACATCACTTCACAATGGGAAGACCCTTGCACAAACTAGTAATAAGAATGAATTGGTTCTACCAACATGATGTAAAATGCAAAGTGTATCCTTTCAGTTTCTCTTTTCAGCAGTCCTGCCTTTTCTGTCTTTATCATAAGAGTTACTGTCATGGCAGTTGGGACACTCAGAATAGAAAAAGGAAACAAACAAAAAAAAATTATGAACAGGCAATATATCCCAAAGATACCCAACATGAACATAGCATGGCAGCTCCTCAATATGCTCCAGTGATGCTGTGCCAAGCTACAGCAGCTGATTCTGGGGGCAGGGCCAGCAAGCGTGGAAATGGGGTCAAAAAGCAAGGAGCTGGCAGGGTTTCTCCAACATTAATGGAGGAGAGAGCTAAATCTGCAAGTGAGCTCATGTCTGAGCCAAGGATAACCAGGAGAGCTGGTGGGAGGGGGGCAACACTGGCAGGAAATCTGGTGATACTAGGGGTGCCCTTTAACAGCTGGCTTGGGAAACAGCTGTGATTTTGGCTGTCAGGAAAGCTTGAGCTTCCTCCAGCACAACCCTATTTGGAATAATTCATTAACATATGGAAGGAAGCACCAAATGCACATCCACAGAGGTGGAAAATCAGAGCGCGATGGTGTGGATGGTGTGGCATTTTCACAAGTACCTGGGGTTTTTTTCAGGCAAAATACCCGGGATTCAGCAAGGGCTTTATCTTAAAATGGTACTTCAAAAACTTTAACCATACCTGTCTGACTTAATTTACAAAGGAAGTTGGTATCACTACAGAAGCTTGATGGGAGTTTCAGAAAACTAGCACATACTTATCTCTCTGCAATCAGTCACAATTTAATTCAGAGCCAACAGTCAGTAACTGATTACTTGTACAACGCAATCACCACAACTTCAATCCTGCCTGGAAAGCAATTGTTTTCAGAGACACAACTTCAACTGTAGACATGGTTCACACTGCTATTTTAACAGAAAAATAAAAGCCTTCAGAAACTTACCACTGAGGTAAGAGCCATCTGAAAACTGTAGATTCGTGCAAGGCCAAAGTCAGCTAGCTTTATCTGCCCATTGCTAGTTACAAGGATATTTTGGGGTTTCAGATCCCGATGCACTACACGATGAGAATGCAGAAAATCCAGTCCCCGAAACAGCTGAAGCATCATATCCTATATATAAAAAAGAAATCAATATGCAATTATCAAGACAAGATGGCAGGCAAACATGTAAATCCCCTGTCATAACCTGAAAAACCAATTTAATAAATATTACAGTATAATATTACTATTACAGTAGATAAAACCAACTATTAATATAAAATGGACAGGATGTTGCTAGAACAAATGGAATTGACCAATGTCCTTATCAAATTAATGTATGGTTTCTAGTTTAATTATCTGAGATTGATTAACAGTTATATAAAGATTAATCAATATACTTTAAAAGTATGTCTCTAAATCCCTGAACAACTTCAAAAGAATGGTGTTCAAGTAAGAAAAATACGCAGCAGTTTTTTGCTCTTAACTTTAAACCACATTCCACTTTCCATTCTCACTAGCTTATGCTTTGTCCTGCTGTGGTGAAGTGTAATTTTTAAATTTATTTTAACAGGCACAGGAACCTGTTTCAAACAGAAAAACTGTTTAAATGACAAATATAATTTTATTTAATGTTATAGAGGGAAAAGGCTCACTTGTCAAAACCTGCTGTATAGTATTTAATGAATAGGACAGAAACTACCTTTAGATGGAAGTTTAGCACTAAAACAGTATAAGAATCATAATTCTGATTCTCCTTCCTGTTTTCTTATAGTGATACAATTTTCCACGACATTTCCACAGCTGAAGAAACTATTTTATCTGTACTCATGTTTTGACAATCTTAGTAATGTGAAAAGAATGAACCAGCAGACTCAAAACCAAATACTAGAAATCCCCTGCATTCCAAATTAGAAGGATACTGTCCACTTGAAAATTTTATTTGTGGAACAGGTAGTTACAAGAAGATGCTACAACAAGGAAGAAAAAAAATGGATAAAGAAGCTTATTTTCTGCATGCAATTGACTTGTGCTCATGAAAATGCTGTTCTGTGTATGCTGGGGCATATGCCCTTTCCATAATCCATGCAGCAGGGTGTCCTCCAATCCTGTTGTTAGCAACCAAATTGATCTTGGAGAAGGGCATGGCATGAAAAAGAAAAGGGAAGAAGGATAACTTGAGGTTGATTGTTTTTGTTCTTCTCTATGGACTCGGGCATGTTGCAAGTAAATATTCAAGGCACACTACTGAAAGGAATTATATCTGAACATGGGTGTAAAAATAGCTCAAAACATTCAGCTTGATAATACTGGTTAAGTTGGATGCATTTTTAATATAGGCTTTAGAAATACTGCTAAATAATTTAATACAAAATTATTATTTTCTTGTAATGTTTCCTGATCATTTATATATAAAATATTATAAAATACATAGATATTAAGTACGGAAGCTCTCACCTGACATCTGATAAAACAAGGCCATTTCTGTATACAACCAGCTCACAAAGCAATCAGCTTTTATTTGAAGATCCCAATGATGGACATTTTACCATGAAATTATGGACACTGTGACAGTATTAAATTATTATCGCCTCTGAGGGAAGGTGGCGAACTGAGAACTCCATTTCCTGCTAGCTGATGCCTTTTATTTCCTTTGCTTCCCCAGAAAAAATGGGGAACTGATAATTTTGACAACTGGTACAATACAGTTTGGACCTTTAAAAGAAATACACAGAGTATACTGAATCCTCTTGTATAAATAAAACTTTTCTTAGCAGCTCAGAAATTTGTAAGAATTTGGGCTACAGCTCTGCAAAATTTTCAGTCATCAGTAGAATTAATGTATGTCATATCTGGTCACTCTGTGCCATTTCAACTTTTACCAAATCCCAAAAGTCTTTGGATCAGTCTTGCAGATTGTGAAGAACATGCCAACAACATCTTGGCATATGGTGATTTTAAATATGAACTTAGTTGTTTCACTGAATTTGGACCCATTTTTTCTTTTTTGTTCCAGGCTGACATAGTATCAAATAAGAAAATAACTTAAAGAACTGAAGCATTAGTCAGTAGACCCTGGTAAGTCCCTTTTTGGTGACAGTTATGTATCCTATTCATTTGTCAACTCTAAACTCATTCAGGCAGTTACCAAACATATCAAGAATATTTTTTCCAGCAACTGATGCTGGCTTTGTTTCAACTTTCTTCCTCAAGCTCAGCATAACACAATTCTGCTCTGCTCATTTCAAGCTGCATGCAGTATCTTCAGGTTCCAAATTCAGAGTCTTCTTCCAGCCACAGGTAAAAAAAGAAAATACTTGAAAATGGAAACTGGTACATCTTCCTCTCTACCCATCAGACTCAAAAGATGAATATCATTTACAGAAATGCTCTTCACACACAAAAAAGAAAATGTGCTGCAAAAAAGTGTACTGGGAAAGTGTAAATTTAAAAGGTATTAGAAAGAAGAAGAGCAACTGGAGGGCAAAAAGCGCTGTATCTCATCTTCCAGGAAATTCAGGATTAGTCCATATAAGCTGTTTACTAGTATTCAGGTTGGACTGTTGATTACATTTATTACTTACTATGACAGGTAGTAACAGACTTCAGTCCAAATTTATCTGGAAGAACAGCCCAAAGTTTAGTGTGTGTAAAGGGCATTTGGATGTAAAATAACTGTTTGCTATTTGTGATTCATTATTGCCCTGTTTTTAAATTCTCAGCAAGTTAGAGAAAGAGCAGAAGCCAAAATCACGATATAGGCTTATTCTTATCATCTTTAAATACAGAATAACACATGCGGCAGATTAAAATCTTGTGCTGCACGTAAGCCTAGTCAAAAACAATTAGGCCTTGCTTTTGGAAAATTATTTCATTCACTTGGTCAGCCACTTGCAAGAAACATAAGGCAGGGTCTGGTCTCTGTGCTTTCTTTGACACTGTAACTAACATCAGAAGACACTAACCTTTGCTAGCAAATTGGATAAAGGCTGTAAACATGCACAAGCCAGATCACTACCTAATTAAATCAGGATAATTTCACTCATCTAACGGAAATGCATCCAGTTTTATTAGTGACCCAGTATTATCTAAATTACCAAGTTCTAAAATAACTGCAGGAGAGTCTTCATGCGCCTCAAGGATTTGTTTTTTCCATGTCTGCTTTTCCCTGAGAAATTTTCTGCAGTAGATAGGCATACCAAACTTTGGAAATACAGAGAGAATCGTATTTCAAAAATTAATTGAAAAACAATCAATTCTATTCAACAAACAAGAACCTTTGTGCCTTAAGAGATTGAAGGAACAAGCTCTAATGAGCCATGATCAAACCTTTACTGATGTCTATCAGTCTTCTTTGGATATTGTATGTTTGCAAACAAAGACACAGTATGTGCCTGTTGCTTCAGATTAGAGATTTCTGCCATGCTCTGGTATCACAAAACCTATGATATTTGGCTGTTGCTCAAGTTGAAGATACATGCACACATTATCCCACTGCAATTACTTTCAGACAATCACAGCTGTAAATTTTTTTTTTTTCTTTGTCAGGCTACATTTTCAATGTCATCTATGTGCAAATATAATATATTTACTTGTAACTCAATTGAAAATGGAGGTATTTTGGGATGCTATGAACAAGTGCACTTTCTTTAGAGGAAAATATGTAGCTTTAATTTTGTAAAAGTCTCATAATGAAAACAGGAGTAAAATTTATTATGGAAATGCTACATCTTTGCTTGTTCCACCATATAAGGTATTGACAATGATTTCTCAGTTTGACATTTACTGAATTTATCAGCTCTGAATGTCAGGACCAAATTATGATGAACTTCTCAAGAGACACCATATTATGTCATGAGTCTCAATAACACACAGAAATATATCCTGCGTATTCTTCCTCTGTCATCAGTGAGGATGGGGCTGGGCTTGGGCTAGGCTGAGCAGCTGCTTCTGCTGCCTCTGCCAAAGGCAATATTCATGGCTCACACTTCCCAACTCAGGCAGAGGGAACACAAAGCCCTGATTTCCTACACATTTTTGTTTCCACCTTGTCCTATCCTCTCTTGACTCTACGCTTCACTGACCCCTCTTAACCCTCCTCCAGCATCTGATCCATAAATCCCTTCCAAGCCATTGGCTTCAAATACTGCTCTGATCCTTTAAGAGTCACCCACCATCTTGACTCCCAACAAAAATATCTGTCGATTATCTGCAACAACTTACTGCTGGTTTAAGACCTGCCAGATTCTCTGGAGGATTCTGCCTGCCTAATCCAAAAGAGGATGGCATGGCTGTCAACCAAAACATTCAAGTATCTACTCAAAGACAAAAGAACCTATGGAGTTTTTTTCAGTGTCAGTGCCTAGGCACCAGCAGCCAGGACTGCAGGGCCCTCAGCCAGGGGACACCAGGGGTTGTGCCCTGCCAGACACGCTCAGCTGCAGCCGGCTCCGACGGACCCACCGCAGTGCACGGCCGGGCCAGGACGGTGGTGCCTCCATGAAGATATATTCAAGGGCAGAAAAGGCTGCAAGGAAAGAGGAGAAGAGAACAGAAGGAGTGAAAGACTCCTATGCTGCTTGGGCTGGGGAGAATCAGAAGTGATGTACAGCCTGGAAAAAGGCAGGAGAAGGTGTTATTTGAAAATCTGCCCATTTTTTGCCCACCACTTGAACTAGCAAGTATCTACCTTGACTGGTATTGGACAAAGTTGATTTTCCCCAGGATAAATCTATTTTGCCCACAATAGTGCTTGGTAAGCAATCTTCCTCTCTTATCTCAGCCCATGAGCTTTCTTGCTCTTTGTTGCTCTCTGCTTTCAGCAGCTGAGGTAGAAGAAGTCAGAGAGTGCCTGGATGTGAGTTTGAGTGCTGGACTAGGCTAACCCACTGCCATGGTAAAGTATGGATGCTAGATGGTAAAGGGGAACACAGTGAGATGTAACCTGAAGTAAATCACCAAGAGTAATACATCTTCAGAGAAGACATGCTCCCTGAGGTAACATACACTTCTGACTGAGCTCATTATATGAAGCTCCTGCTTTTCCTCCACTGGCTACAATGTGAAGAAGGAAAAAGCTTTAAGCAGGTTGCCCTTTCTTACAGTGACAGGAGCTCCTAATACCAAAGAGA